AACAGTTCACTGCGGTTATCCTGGGCCTCCAGCGGGTTGGGGTTCCTTTTTCACTTGTGACTTCTGAAGCTTTCAAAACAGACCACTCTTCCACTCTGAGGGAGTTGCCTGGAGACTTGAGGTCACTGAGGCTGTGCCAGCACAACCCTCAGCTGGACTGTGGTGAAATCCCTCGAGCTCCAGAGCATGGGGTGCGCACTGCAGGGGTGACAGTCATTTACAGTCACCCTTTGCTTGAGTGAGTTTACTTCAAAGGCTGACACAGGGCCCACTACCTCTTTTCATTTGTACTTTCAAAGGTTGTTACACACACTGTTAAATGAGGTATTTAGAGGGAAAGACTCAAGTGAGCAGCTCTGCTTGGCCAATATGACGGATATTATTTTTCAAAGAGCATTTCATGTCATCCTTGAGTTTTGGAAGTTATCTACAACCCTTAATTGTGTTCCTCACTCTCCCCTTTGTTGGCCACTGGAAGATGTTTTGTAGCTAATCTTGTAGTTCAGCATAGAAGTTTAGGGTTTCTTCGTTCACTTCCCCACGGCCTGTTAGAGCCCAGTTTTCTGTCAGACTCTTCTTTAACAGTTCTCTGCAGCTGACACTGAGCTATGCCATATCTTGAAGCTGTTTCACCACTTTTGTCTTCTACTGTGTTTGCTGCACTGCTGACTTTGTATGAAATCCTGTAGTGACGCAACTTGTTTTTTTCTTTTTTGTTTTTTTTTTAAGGTATTGCAGAAAAGTTGATGAGACCTTTAAAAATCTACCTCTGGGGCATTTACCTCTGTGAATTCGTGGAGTTCACTCATTTTGTGTGTCAAAGTGCAAATTCAGTCTATTTTATCTGCTGTTAGCATTTTATATACAGACCTGTATGAAAGAGCCAATGCTTATTTCTTTATGTTGTGGTATAGAAAATATGTGTAGTGATTTATTGAAGCAAGAATACATGGAGAGCCAGTATATAAGGTAAAAAAAAAATGGGTGCAATTTTAATAAGTTTGAATGTCAATATTTGCTCTGACCATCTATATTCTTTAACACAGTCAGGTTTTTTGTAATGTCTTTATGTAGTCTTCAGGAATAGTTCTACAGGCTTCTTGAAGGACATTCAAAGCTCTTCTTTGGCTGCTCTTTGTTCTGTTCTATCAAATATGATCCCACACTGCATCAGTAATGTTGAGGTCCAGGCTTTACAGGTGGTACTGCATGGCGGATCAGAATCTAGTGGTATTTTTCTATGTTCATAATTCCACAAATTTTGACAAGATCTCCATCACCACTGACTAAAATGCAATTCCAAACCATGACAGAGCCTCCACTGTGTTTTACAGACAGCTGTAGACACACCGTTCCCTCACCTTCTGACCTCCTCCATAAATCTTGATAATGATTTGAATCTACAATTTGGATTCATCACTCCATCAGTCTAGTTCTTGTGTAATTTGGTATACCTCAGTTTTTCCTTTCTGTTTCTCTTTCCTAATAATTGCTTATTGACA